CTACCAGAATTTGGCCAGTTTTTTCATTAATTTTAATTTTGGTTTTCCATTTGCTGTTTTAAGGGAATTACTGGTAGCAGTTTACTGGAGAATCCCTTGGAGTTCTGTCAACTCTGGGAGGGGCCTATATTGGGGCTCTCCTTTGGGAGGCAGATACAAGGGTATTCGAGTTGATGTTGAAAATTTTACATAGGCCCTTTGAGGACAATCTCTTTTCCAGTGTCCTAGTTGATTACAACTGAGACATCGGCCACTGGGTCAGTGTTTTGATGATGGACCCCTAGGAGGGTGCAAGGCAGGAGGCCAGGTGTTATTTTATGTCTCTGACCTTGGAGCTCTTGTAGCTGTAAGGCTAATGGTTTGGCAGACTTTTGTTTACAATCTTGTGTCTTTAAATTTTCATTAGCGTTTTGTAACATGTTTTTTAATGAAGCTATTTCGCAATTGTGAAGTCTTTTGGAAGCTTCTGTATTAAAATAAGCAGGTGTGCCAGAAGCTGGCATGCTGAACTCTTTGGAATTTAAGAATCCCATTTTATGTATTTATTCATTCATTCATTCATTCATTCATTCATTCATTTTAAGCTAAGCGTTTGGGTCTCTCAGAGGCAATCTAATACCTAAAAAGGATGTGCCGCTGGGGTGGAAACTGTGTGATGTTTTACAGCGTACTTCATTTTCTTGAGGCTGACAGTGACCTAGTGTCAATCTAACCTGTTCATTGACAGTCTTATCCTAACACAGAAGTCTTTGGGTTAGGTCTCAAGCACTCTAACAGCTTTTAAATGCTCGACATATGCCAAGAGGGTTCGTGGTTACCAACGCCTGTGTTTCTCCTCTCCGAAGATGTCAGCAGTGTCCTTCGGATCCTGTCACTGCCACCAAATCTGTTAAAAAGCGAAATTCAACTGACTAAATTTGAAGATCTAATTGGCTTTATTTATGGTTCATGAGTCTGGCAGCATCCATCTGAGCAGATAGAAAGGAGCTTCCAGGAGCTGTACAAAATGGAAGGCTTTTATAGGCAGAAGTGGGCAGGGAAAGAAAGTTGCTAGCAAAGAGTGGATTGTTTCAGGCAAGGTCACCTTCCTCTAGGGGAAGGTGGGGTTTATCGGTAGATTACTTCACTAGTGCTGACCAGGTAATTCTAAATTGAGAGATTAAAGTTCACATTCCTGGGACAAGCTGAAACTGCAATTAGGTTAGGTATGAAGTCTTGGTTTGCTCACATGGGGCTTAGCACAAATGACCCTATTTTGGGCTGATTGTTTCTTTTCTAACTCTAGGGAGCCCTGTTTTGCTTCTAGGAAGGAAGTTTGATCAAGGGTCCAGATATATTTGAGAAACTGTACATGGATGCACGTTTGGAGAGAAGCACAAGATTTTGATAGTTGCTATTTCCGAGTCCAACCAGAACTTCTAATTATGGAGTAATTGATGGCTTTGCTTTCATACCACCAACGCCTACTTTTCAGTCTTTCCCATATGCCTCTAAAACAATTTCATGTAAAAGCCACTCCCTTATTTCCTGACAACCACATGGCAAGAGATAAAAGGACACACAACTTGTAGCACTTTGCTTACATTCCTCATGGGATCAAACATATCAGGAACTAAAGTGTTGATCATCACATAGGTTATTAAAGAAAACAGTGCACTGGGATTATAAATCAAATAATTAATTTGCAACAAATATTACTTGAATGGGTGTATAAAAGGCTATTATAGATGCTAAGGCTTTTAGACAACTTCGTGTTTCATAAAACAATATAAAAGTATTTACAAAGAATACATATTTTTTGATATATCTGTCCTATGTAGTGGGTAGTGCCACCATATGAGGATACAGAGACTGTGCTTTGGGAAACTCCAAGGATGCTATTCATATAAGATATGATTTGAATGGATCCCTGTAGAGTTGTGTATGGGGTGGTCCTAGATAAGATTCAGTGGTATATAGAAACAGAAGATAGAAATAGAGGGAAATGGTGCCAATACAAAGAAGAAGCCATACTGGGCAACAGAAGTAGATGGTGATGGTAGGAGGAGCAGGACTGGAGATGAAGACAAGGACTTGTCAAGAAGTCCAACATGGAAAATGACTGGACTTTTGCCTCAAGAGGGGAGAATGGATGATAGGGAGATGAACATAAGTGTTCTCTACAGGAGTGAAGGGAGTGGAAAGACAAATAGGAGTCAGGTGCATAGGGAGTGGGTCTGTATATCAGTGTGTTTGTCACCATAAATTCGTGCAGTGATATTGTTGAGTATGATTGCTGTGAGACCAGTTGATTGAGCAGTCTCAACTCATTGGGATATAAACATGAAAAAAAAATGTTTTCCAGTAGCTATAATGAGCTGTGTTCTGTTGAGTTCCCCTATCTTACTGGGTAGCAATTTTTCTTAATGATATCTCATCCAATTCCATTACTATTGTCACTCCTGGGTATTCAAATTATCTTAGTTCGATGGTTAGGACCCTATCCTGTTCATTTTAAAACTTGTATCTTTTACTTGATCTGAAGCTCTCTTCTTTCCCTTCCTCTAATTCAGGCCAGCCTATGTCTCCTGTGGCTCGAAATGTGGGGGTGGGTGTATGGACTCAGTCTCAATTAATTTTTCTCCCTGTTCCCAGGGGTATTCTACTTGGGTCTTGGGGAGGTGGAATACGTGAGGTCAATGTCTCCTCATGAGCCTGTCCTGCTGTGGCGTGGTTTCATACCTCTCTCAGAGTGGTAGGTGCCCGAAAGCTGATCCTCTATTAGGTTCTTAGTTCTGTAAGGCTCTTTTCTCTGCACAGTCTCTTGGCATGGGAGATCCCAAGTGGATTATGCCCAACTACTTTCCATTGTTCCACTCTATCAATTAGAAACTCTATACTTATTGTTTCAAACACGCATGATATCCTTAATGCATGAAGGTGGTCCCGCTGGCAAACCTGTCTTCCCCACCTTCTCTCTCCTGCCCATTTCTTCAATCTCAGCAGCGTCAAACTGCACATCCAGTGTTTCAGCAATGTTGGTACAAGAGGAGTACCATCTCTTGTCTAATGTGGCTTCCTGAGATTTACACTTTACTGTGTTGCACTAGAGATTGTATTGAGATTTACACTTTACTGTACCTGAGCATCATGGAGGGTAATAACTAGGCTGGTGGACTATGCCTCCAGAGCTGTGGGGTGGGTAGGTGGGAAGAACACAGGGAAAGTCTGGCTGTTGTGTATTATTTCTGTTGCCAACACAGAATTTCAGGCTTTTATTCCCGTTTTGGTAAAAGGCCAGGTGTCCTACACTTACTCCTTTAGTACATTTTCTCCGTATTCACCTGTACATCATAGCCGTTAGCACTGGCTGAGCAGGTCCCTGCCCACTAGAGGAACTAATAGTGCTAATAGACATTCTGCCTCAACAGCATAATCCCCAGATGCCCTACTGCTCAGCCCGTCTTCCAATGAATGCTATGAGAGTAAATCAAAACTTCCCGGTAGTCAGGGATCTCCCACTTATTTCCTCTTCCTTTGCTTCTTTACCATTTCCCATTTAAACCACAAGGTCCGTTCTGTCAACCCTGCTAAACATATGAAATTAATTATACCAGGTCAAAATGTCTGGTCTATATTTAAAGATGGTTAAAAGTGTCCCCTGGACTCAGCTTACATGGCTTTCATTTTGGTTTACTTCCAAACCAGCAAATGATTCCTGGCAAGGCTACAATAGATGAGGATGCCACGATGGATGCTGATCGTCAGTGCCTCTCTTGTTTCTCAGGGAACTGAATTGTTCTATAAAACCCTCTGTGCCAAGGAAGAAAACCATCAGTTGGAGGAACAAGGTAACCATATGCTTGTAAACTTGGACTCAAAATTCTACCTACTCCCATGAATGGAGATACTTGCGGCACCTGGTAGGCCATGGTTACATACTCTGTGTTCCATTCTGTTTGCATCATTGGGGTCTCTGGCAGACCTAGCTGTGGCCTACCACGTGAACCTGCTCTTCCCAACCTACATTCTCTCTTTAATGGATCTCCTTCATTGCTATGATTGTGACTTTTAGGCTGTGACTCTGAGTGATAATTAAAATATTATGTTTTTAAAATTTTAGTTTTCTTTGTTTATCTGAAAACAAGAGCAATAGATAGTAGCTTCAGTAATTCTTTCCTTTAGTGAAAGAAAAAGTACACAGGTAGATTGGCTTTTTAAGTGAAAAGACATAGATATGTATATGATTATATTGAACTGAAATAAGGAAAATCTGTGGTTTGACAGGTGGTACCTGATTTTTTTGCTAGTATCTTCTCTATCCATGAATTGCAATAAATATGACCTTATTCATGTTGTATATAGTAGTATATAGTTGGCAACTTTCGGTGAATACAGCAACATCAATCTATGCTTAAAAGTACCAAGACCAAATTCATTTTTTCTGAAATATTATTTGCTTTGTTACACTTATATTTTTATTACTCAAATAGACAATTTTAACTTCTTGATGAAATTTGAATTATCATTCTAGAAAGCTAGTGTATCAAATAGTACAAATAGGTGTCAATATTAAAACGGATCTTTATTTATCACTTTTTATTACAAACAAAATAATGTGTAAATAAAACTATTAAATTTTAATATCGACTTACAATTTTTCAAACACCCTGGATGTTTATATTTAATCAAAGTATCATTTCTAGCATTCCTAAATTATTTTTATGAGTTCATGATCACACAGGATGAATTTAAAAATTCAGAAGTATCTTTCACTTTTGTTGTTATTCTTAAAAACCTCATTCTAGGTCTGCTTAAATTGTTTTTCTTGTTCAAGATAAGATGGCGGTACTTGAAATAATACTAATAATTGCTGCAGACCCAACCACTAGCAATACAAATGAAGAAATGTGAACTGCAGAACTAGTATGATTTTCTTCAGGCGTGGGACTTGGATTAGCTTCAGTAGGACTAGGATTAGTTTCATCAGGACTAGGATTAGTTTGATTAGGACTAGGACTAGTTTCATCAGGACTAGGATCTGCTTGAGGAGTAAACAAAGCTACTTGTGCAATGTTGGATACTTTTGATGTCAAATTGCTTTTATCCACACTTTGAATGGCAATGAATATGTGGGTTGCATTTTCTTCTGAGGTATTTCCTGGTTTAAATGCAAAGGTTTCCTGGGAATTGGCCTCCTTTGGTAACAGATCAGTAGTGTTTACTTGCAGAACATCATCAAAATTATCTCTTAGATCCAGGATACTTCCACTTGTTCTTATGATATACTGTTGAACTAAGAAAAAGAAAGTTATATGTAGTTTAGAAACTAGAGCATACCATAATAAATTCCTTTTTTTAAATATATTTTTTTAAATTTATTTTATTTTATTTTAATTTTTTTTTGAGGAAGATTGGTCCTGAGCTAACATCTGTTGCCAATCTTTCTCCTTTTTTCCTTTTTTCTCCGGAAAGACCCAATAGATAGTTGTATGTTATAGTTGTACATCCTTCTAGTTGCTCTTTGTGGGACGCCACTTCAGCATGGCTTGATGAGCGGTTTGTAGGTCCGCACCCAGGATCCGAATCTGCGAACCCTGGGCCTCCGAAGCAGGGCGCATGAACTTAACTGCTACGCCACTGGGTCGGCCCCATTAAAGTCCTTTTTATTCATTCTCCCCAAAATGTTGTTTCAATATGCAAAGCCTCTAGTCATATCCAAAGCCTTACTAATTTTTCAATAAAAACTGAATTTTGCTTTTTAAACTCTGCCAAATGCTGCTTCTCTTTATGAAAAGTGGAGCTAGTTAAAATGTGTCATGTTTGATTCAGAACTGTCAGATTATAAAATTAATCCTTTCCTGAGCTGTCAATTAAAAACTGTTCCCCCACCCATCTTACACTCTTGCTTTTGCAGTGAGCACTTTTCACGTAATCAACACCACTTGCCACCTCGTCCTTACCTTTTCCAACATCATAATCATCTCCTGGTGCTGTCCATGTTAGACTGATCTCATCCCCATCAGATGTGGCCTCAAGGTCTGTGATTTGACTTGGTGGGTACAGGTCAGGCAAGGGAAGAGTTGAAACATTTGAAACCACAAATGCACCTCCAGACGCTATTCTGCTGAAACTCTCCAAGGTTGTCTGAGTATCCTCATCAATTTCAGGTCTTGGTGGATTCCCTTCAATTTCCCCTGCATTAGAAATTTCCTGGTATTTAATGGGGATATCTCAGCCAGTATTTTCAGAACTCAATGAATTGAATTCCCCATCCCACATCTTTCCCTCCTTTTTTTTCCCATATACACAGTCACATTGTACTAAGTTTGGTGACAAAGTCATAAGCATTCAATTAGTGGGAGAATTCTTTCCTTTGTGTCCTGACCAGGATATTGTAGGATAGAGTCAGATAATGAATTGCTTTGGAAATAAGGCTTCACTGAATGGGAATAATGTTATAGAATTCAATATATGCCTTTTTGAAAAAAAAGGAATTGCTTTATTTCCCAAATTATCTTCAGGCTGGGAACAAACCTGGCAAAATTACTACTGGTTCCCTTCCAACCACTTGTGCCAGGTCCCTCCCTCTCTCCCTGCTGCAAGTGCTAAGGAGCAATACTTTGGGTTACATTCCAGTTGCCAACAGAAGGCCCCTGAAAGTCATGAGACAAGGGGCAAGACAAGGGAAAGTTAACAAAGAATGCATTCTTTTTAAAGATTTTTTATTTATTCAGTTTTTTCCCCCCAAAGCCCCAGTAGATAGTCGTATGTCATAGGTTCACATCCTCCTAGTTGCTGTACGTGGGACTCGGCCTCACGTTGGACGGAAAAGTGGTGCCTCGGGGCGCTCCCGGGATCCGAACCCCGGGCCGCCAGCATCAGAGCGCGCACACTTAACCGCTAAGCCACGGAGCCGGCCCGAAAGAATGCATTCTTAATCCTTATCATCACCTTACTCTACACATTGTTTTTTTCACGTAATAAAAACATTCAAAATAAATGTTTACTCATTTGCCTATCTTTTACAGCATATGTAATCTGAAGGATAAATTCTGCCACTGGCTTGTACTTAGGTACATAACATATGAGCCTGTTTCCTTCATCCTGAGCTAAAGATTTGGTATATTATTCAATATAGGTGAGGTGTTCCAAACTAACATAGTAATGGCTGACATTTATTGAGTGCTTACTTCATGCCAGACACTGTACCAAAGCTTAGGTTAATTTGGAGGCAAACCCCAATATGGCTGAGAACTTCAATACAGAAATGGGAAAAGCTATCCTTTGAGTTGTAAAATGTTTGAAGCCTTAATCATATCAACTCCCAAGTGGTCAAGCCAGCACTAGATTTCAGACACCATGAGTTACTCACCGTTCACTACCCAGCCTGGTATATATGCGGCTCTGTTGGGTGGACGCCTTAAGCTCCGGGTGGCAGCATTTGTTCCTCCGTGAGCCCGTACTTTTAAGCTGT